GATTTTCCTATAGAAAGAAGGTATAGAAAGCAAGAGCGTTAATGCATGACTTTATTTCTAGGGCGAAGATCTTTCAAATGGATATGTAGAAATTTTTAATGATGAGAACTTTTTGATTTAGCTAAAAAAGCTGCTTTCGCAAACTAATTCGTCTCCCTCACGCTTTAGAACCTTCTAGATGATTCAGTCACTGCAATTTGCTGTAATCCGACAAGATTATATTGATTTCTTCACAGAAGTTTTAGAAAACTACATTAATACTGCTCGGATTATATCGCACATCTCCAGTTTTGGGATTTCTTTGTAGATATTGGAACATTAGATTGCGTTGATCGTCCTAAGAGCAACAGGCTCATTCAAAGGGCTCATTTCCATTAAAACTCTTGTTCAGTGCTTTGAAAAGCATGTTTTGACAGCACAGTCTTTTTCAAACTTTCTAAAGAAGGTTTTAGAAGGTGTGCTCATCAAATCAGTCAAAAAAGGTCAGCTTTTTAAAATCAGCACCATTACATAAATATGCGGTTAAGAGATTTGAGCTACCCTGATCTCTTTAGAGCTATGAAAATTGCAGTTTGCTTGACAGCGAGAAACATTATATATTGAAATATCGTTTTGATGTTAGAACTACTTTGTCCCAATTTGGGACTATATCGCGACGTGTTGTTGCAAATGTTTATGCTGAAACATTTTTTTTGCACAAATTCTAGCGCAAAATACACACTAATATAATTTGCACACTGCTTTCTTATCGGAATTGTCATTTTGTTCCTGAAAATGGCCTTCTTATCAAATATAACCATCTTGAAGTCATTCTTGCAATTTAAGAAAGGAAGTTAATGCATAGATTGGCTCTAAGAGTAAGATAGGGAAAAATAGGACTACAAGTTTAAACGATTCTGCTTTGGAAGCAAGAAATTAGGTCTAATTTTAAAGCTTTTGACGAGAAAGATAACATAAAAATTGCTAGAGTTTATTGTAAGAATAAAATCATGAGAACATTTGTTGTACAATGGGAACATAATTGCAAAATTTGTAAAGTTTACATGCTCTCTTATTTTTCATCACGCTGCAGTGGTCTG